AACAAAGCCCGAGGGTCACTCACTGTACTCTGGCTCAACTACGCGGTGGTTACTCAATGGTCCTTCGCCAGTACCAACACCGTCTCGGCCCGTCCATACCCGACTGCTGTCCCGAGTGCGGCACTTCTCCACATGACTGTCAGCATCTGTTCGCCTGCAGTTCCCGGCCAGGCAGCTAACTCACCCCCAGGAGCCTTTAGCTCAAGCCGGTCGGGGTCTCGTCTTTTCTCTATCTTCCAACTACCAGCAGTTTGGATTCCGGCGGGGACTCCTGATCCAACAATGGGCTACGACACACACGTACACACCGAATGGGTAATAAGCACATAACCCGACCGAAGTTCATCAATGCCTTGCCATCGGCCATCCTCTGTCGCTGCAGATCGGGTATTTATTCAAACAGGAATTGGCGCACGTCTATTCGTTGGCCCCTGATGCAAACGATCTCCGTATGGATGGTGGAGGTCATGAAAAGACAACAAAATATCCGGCCGAAGTCGGCCAAGCTATAACTGCAAAGAGGAGGGACAACAGAAAATGCGAGTCGATTGATACGGTCGGTTTTGGGCTTATTCTGTCATGGTTTATCCGATCATAACCCTGGCTACCAGTTGGGACTGTAAACACAAACATACGCTCGAGAACGGGGCAGGTAGTCCTCACACTGGATCATGAGCACTTCATCGAACCGAAGTTCATCAATGCCTTGCCACTTGTCATTCGGACTTATTCGGTTCAATTCGAATTTATATAAAATAATAAATTAGATGCTTGTGTGTCTATCCGAAATTGCATCGGCTACACCGGAGCTCCACTGGTGAAGCTAAGGCTCCTTTCGTCTGCTCTAAGCAGTAGGGAGTGCTCATTGTGAAGGACTTTCGAATTAAAACAGCCTACTTTAAAATTTGAGTAGAGTGAATAACTTTGTATGAGAGTGAAGCAGAATGGTAAAGGTAGTAAGCTGGGCGATTAGGGGGAAACAATCATCCATCTTAGGTGGTAGGATAAGTTACTGAAGCAAGAGCGTCTACTTGAACTGCTTATATTCTGATTTAGGCCAAAGAAGAACAGGTTAAGGTCAACTCGATGGGTTTATCACTTTCACAACTTAAGTAGATCGTTCGGAATTACTTATATTAAGTTTCATGATATACAAAGCGGGCTTTTGGACTCGGCATATCAGCATTACTTAGTCATCGTCTGGAGAGAAGTGAGTTCACATTTGGAAACAGAATGCACTTCCGACACCCTGGAGGTCCAGTTCACTTTGAAGATTGTGACGGTAACTCATTAATCCTTCAAACTGGATGATCTTATCCATTGCAGGGGAAGTGAGACCATACACAGGAAGAAAATAAGCGCACGCTAAACTCCCTTACTTACCACACTTGACACTCACTACTCTAAAAAGCAGCTAGGTCCATGACATCAACTACCCAACAGGACTTAGCTAAGTTAGCCAAAATTCCGGATAACTCGGATTTTGAAATTCTTAGGTTCTGCTGCTTACTAGCCCGAGAAGATTGGTCCACTACTGAACAATGCCACTGAAACTTCTACAAAGGCTGATTCGTTCTTCTTAACATAGATATTCGTTGTACTATCTTCTCAAAGTCCTCAAAGTTTCTCGGCAATACCCTTATACCCAACTTATAAGGTCACTTTTTACCGAAAGAACCTGGTAAAAGTATTTTTCCCTCAGAGTTAAGGCATGATTCTTGATCGAAAAGTCTATTCTTGTGGATAAAGAAAAACTGGAGAAAATAGTGGATGCTAAAAGATAACCGCCAAATTAAATTAACTAGAGGAAGAATTCAAAATCCACATGTCATGTCCCCAGGAGTAATAGGTAAAAGGAGGCAAATCCGGTTCTGATCCCGAGAGTCTTTATTCAGGCCAATAAAGAGACAGCGGAAGGTATCAGCGCGTCCACTACAGCCTATTTCTGGGCAATGGTCCTTTTAGACTAATCCTGGCCCATCGCATGCGAAAGGAGTTCTGGTGTGCATGCTGAGTTGTGGTTTCCCACACTGCAAGACGTTTCTAGAATATCTGGACTGCACGTTGGGGCGGGCGTCCTATGTGCTCACGGCGCGCGCAGCCGGTGGGCAGGTATGACTCAACTGGGATGCACTTCCAGCCGTAGGGTCTGAGTGCGTCACCGCTCGCGTCCCCTTAACACCACAGGATCCACTGGTGGTTACTTCCAAAAGGTTAACTCGGAGTAGAGCGAGGGACATTATGCATAATGCATTCTCGGAAAACTGGCACGTCGTGTGTAAGTCACCTGTAAAAACTACTCAGGTAATACTTCACGAACAGCTAAAGAATGTGAAGACGAGGAAGATAGTGCGGAACACCACAGTAAAATATCATCGGGATCGGAAAGGAAAGAAGTCAGACCCGCTGGCTAGGCAATCGCCAGTGCAAAACTAAATCGAAGTCCGAGTTGAGGAAACCTCAACTTCACCACAATGATTGATATAATGCACCTATAGCACTCTGTAACATATGCGTGTTTTGCCAGAATTTATCTACAAATCGGGTTTTCCAAAAACCTGCCTAGCTTCTTTATTTATAGTGAACTACACTAAATCAATGAGAGTATCCAATCACAATTTATGGAAATGGAAAGGGAGGATATAATTTATTACCTGAGGGTGCGCAATTGCAAGAGAGCGAGCAAAACAAGAAGATTGCCAATGCAAGCAAACATGCGAGTCCCAGGAAGTTATTGAGAAGAAAATGACTAGGTCGCTGGGACAATACTTTTATTCGCCTGACGTTTCGACCTCCGTCGCGGATTC